AGGCGGGGGGGACAGGGAGGAGAAGGGGCCTAGGATGAGAAAATCAAACTGGGACAGAGCAAGTGGCCCAATCTGGGGCCTGGATCCTGGGAGAGGGCTAGAAGGGAGGAATGAGGGAATTTGGACTGCTGCCTGAAGACCAGAAGAGCCAGGAAGAGAGAAATGGGACGCCATCAAAACTTGCAGAAAAACTTGAGAATGTGAGACTAGTTCCCAGCCACAGCAGGCACATAAATCTCTCACCATGACCCAGGCATTATGATAAGCACTTTACATTATTTCATCCCCAGAACAACCCCGTGAGATAGGTATTATTACCCCCATTCCCGGGGGGATAACTAAGGCACAGAAGTTACTAAACTTGTCCAGTGCCTCATAACATGGTCTCAAGCTCTTAACAAATGGAGCCCAGGATTCAAAAATCTGAACTCTAATAATGGCTTGTCATTCTGGCTTCTTACCCTTCAGGAACCTGTGAGGTGTTAACCAACCTGTAAGCTGCATTCCAGCACTGGCAAACCTGGCCTCTCAAATACCCAGCCAATTCTAAGTTTGGTGCCAGGAACACAGACTGCATCCAACCCCTTTCTCTGCCTTAGGCCTGATCCCAAGACACTGTTTGCACTCCCCACACACTTAACATCATAGCCCATTTTCCCAGGCTCACAAAGTGCTTGAGACCACCCTAGCAGCCACCAGCCCCAATGATTTCCTACGAAGCCCACTTTCTCACTTTTCTACCTTATGTCAGGCCAACTTTACCAGACGCCTGGCCTGGTTGTTTGTACAGACAGATATCAAAACACCTTGTTGGTGCCTCCCCACCTCCAGCGGCTCAGGAGGACGTGCACAGCCAATCTGCACAAATCCCAACCCTATCACTCGTCTCAGAACTCAATAGTTGCTACCCCACGTCTATTCTCAAGGACGACTCTGAGACCTAAACCCTTCCGTTTAACATGAGAAAGACACCCGGAGCCGTAATGTGACTGGCTCTGGGTCTCACAAATTATCACACCATCCTTTCTCATATCAGCATGACAACCCTTTGGTACCCTCCGATTTGCCCTACCAGGGCATCCCTCCCGTCTTCGAACCTCTGCCTCTTTCAAGTGTTTAAGGCGACCACCCAAACAGCAGCCACTAAAACATCCTCCATCAGCTCTCAAGGGTCCCGTTCCGGTACCTCCCTGGGAGCAGGGGCTCCTTCAGTCCCGACCTGAAAGGGAGCTCCCTCAGGTCGCAGAAGGCTTCCGAGCCCTTCCCCGCGGGCAGTCAAGTGTCCAGGGACTCCAGGGGGGCGAGGGATCTGATGTCACTAACTCCCACCCCGTCCCTCTAGACCTGAGTTCGTGGTCCCTACTCTCCACAACCATCAGAGCTCCCACCGGAGCCATCACGTATTTGCATGATCCCACACACACACTCTATTTAACACCTTCCCAAACGGCCACACCACCCCGGAAAAGTCCACATCGACCGCCCCTCTTCCCCATCCCCGGACACTCACCGCTCGGCGCGCACGCACACTCCAAATTTCTTCTAGGACTTCTAGCATTACGCTGACTCCTCCAAACCCGCCCACGGGCCGCGCTGCCACGCCCCCCACGCTTATTGGCTTAGGGGCGCCGACCCATGCCCCGTGCCGCGTGCAGCCGTCGGCCCCCCGCACAGCCTCCATTGGCGCCTCCGGCCGCCACCGTCTTCTCATTGGTCAGCAGGCCGACGGGGGCGGGAGAGATACACGTGCGAGAGGGGCCGCCCCAAAACGGCGATTGGAAGCCTGACCGGAAGCCACGCCCTCCACACTTCTGAGGTTCTTATTGGCTGAGAAAATAACCCCCGACCTGCCAAGATTGGTGACGTCAGTGCCAGTCCTGCTCTCCAAGCTTTCTCATAGGCTGAGAGGTCTTGGAGCTGTAGGGTACACGTGCCGGCGGTCTCACGCGGCAGCTTGTTTACCCAGAGGCTGGGGATTTTCCTTGACGACACTCTTAACCACGGCTGCTAAATCTGCGCAGGCGCAGCGAGCGTGACCTGCACGCAGGCGCAGACGTGAGCGGTGGCACAGTATAAGGCTCACTTTGTACAGAGACCCGGGCATGACGAGGGGGCCTCTGGCGCTGGGGTTCCAGCCCTGGGTCCCCAAGGCTCCCCGAAGCTGGAAGGTCAGAGCATTAGGGTGAAGCGGTCTTCAGATCTCTGCACGGTGTGTTGGTGACCATGAAGATGAGAGAGCCCCTTCCTGATTGTTTTCTGCGGGCTAGGCCAGGCGCTTCTCCCAAACTCTGAGGCCAGCTCTCGTACTCCCCGCGCCTCACAAATGAGACTGAGATCCAGGGAGGTTACATAATCTGTTTGCCTGTAACACGCTAGTCAGTAACAAGGCTAAAACTTGAACCCAAATTCAAGTTTTAACTTCTAGGGCCCATGGGAACTCTTAAACCTGGAAGGTATTTAAGTTGGAAGTGCGAAATCCTGAGCACTGCCTGGCATATAGTAAGACTTCAATCAAGTTGGACATTCGGGTAATGATTGTGTACCTAATATAAGAATCACGGTGGCTCACGCCTGTAACCCCAGCACTTTGGCAGGCTGACGTGGGTGGATCACTTGAGGTCAGGAGTTCGAGACCAACCTGGCCAACATGGTAAA